GTATTTAGTGAGGGTGCTATTGCGTGCCTCAGCTAAAAATGCTTTAAATCCCANAGGGGCTTAGTGGTCGTGAGTTGAGACAAGACTCAATACGGCACAAGAGTGTGCTGAACTCTTCAAAAGTATATTTGTGGTCGGACGCAACCTTTTTAAAGTGGATTTCGAAACTTTTCACCCCAGCTTCCCACAAACCGCCCATGGGAGGGGGACGCAGCGGGTATGAAATGCCACACTAAGGTTTGATGGCTGTATTTAGTGAGGGTGCTATTGCGTGCCTCAGCTAAAAATGCTTTAAATCCCACTCGTAAAGATCGTGAGGCTCCGACAAAGTTAGTACCATTGTCGGAGTAAACATTTTTTGGACATCCTCGTCTAGCAACAAATATTGCGAAAGCGGCCAGAAAGGACGCGGTGCTAAGGTCGCTGGTACCTTCAAGGTGAATGGCTTTCGTCGAGAAGCAGACGAAAAGACACACGTAGCCTTTTGACATGCGACATCCTCTGCCCCGGTAGGACTTGATGTCGAACGGGCCCGCGAAATCCACCCCCGTGTTTGTGAATGCACGGGAAAAGGTTGTGCGTTCTTTGGGAAGGATTCCCATAAGTTGAGTTTGCGACCGTTTCTTGTAGATCGTGCAGACCTTGCAGTTATGTATGACGGACCATATCAAGTTTTTCACCCTGGGAATCCAATACTGCAATCGGATGAGTCGCAGCATCAGCTGGTTTTCTCCGTGCACGGAAATTTTATGAATAAACTGGACAAAGAGACGGGACAACCTACCACCATACGGAAGAATGATAGGATGACGTTCATTGTAGGACAGATCGCAAGATACGCTCAGACGACCACCAGCCCTCAAAATCTCATCTTTGTCAATGAACGGGTTAAGAGGCAGGATTTCACTTTTTCCGTCGATGGATTTTCCAGATTTTAACCTTATATATTCTTCGCTGTAATATTGTTTTTGACAAATTGTTATTAAGCGTTAGGCGTTGTTTTAATCTCGTTGGCCGAAATTGAACGAGACTCCGCTTTAAAGGAAGATTTTGTTTTGGGATTGATTCTTTGATAGAATCTCATAATATAATATATAACTCTCAAAGCCCG